GCCTTAGGGCAGCTGCAGTTTGTTAAGTAATTTTCAGATTACAAAGGGCTGGGCCTTTCATATGCAAAAGCCTTTGTGCAGGGCTTGGGCAGGGCGGGGTCCCAGGGGATCAACAGGATGGGCGGGCGGAGCGAGCAGTATGGCTGCTCTCAGTCCTGCCTTCAGAGGTCCTGGCAATCGCTGTGAGTGCCTCCAAGAGAAATCTGCCCTCGAGTTTCGTCGATGCCAGACAGTCCCGTTTCTCCCATATGAGTCTGGGTCCCCAGAGACTCGCCTGGAACTGGAGCTCAGAGCCTGAGACTCCCTCCCGATTGAAAACGACAACCGCGCCCTCAGCCGCCAGTCCTCTCCGCATGCACTTCCGCACCTTTGTATTTTACTTCTGTACTGCACCTCCTCTGAGTCTCGGTATGCTTTTCTCTTTTCTTCTAGTTGTAGAATTTCCACTCAGCCAGCCTTCCTGTGGTTCTGGGTGATGTCTGTTCCATCTTTTAGTTGTATTTTTAAAGTGGTTGTGCGAGGCAGCAATCTCTGGTGCTATGCCCCGCCTATGCCCCGCCATCTTGGTTTCTCCTCTAAAGAGAGACGAATTCTTGTTAGACTTTTAAGTCTATCAATTGAGTCAAGTGTATCAAGTATTGAAATGAATTGTCCCTTTGTAATTCCACCATCAGAATTCAAGTTTCACATCCAAGCCATCAAAATATATAACATCTAGAGCAAAAGAAATTGTTTTCCTAAAATACAGATATATTTGAAAATGTTTAGTGGCATCCATGTATGTTTCACAGCCAATGTCACATATATCCGAATCACTTGGAGCATTTACTAACTATGCCAATTCCCAAACTCCTCCAAGATTTACTGAATTATTTTGGAGAAAAGGCTAAATTTCTAGATTTATTAAACATCACAAATGATTCTCACCTATGCTTGAATCTGAGAACCATTGGCCTAATGTAGTAGTTCCCAAAGTGTGATCTCTGAACCAGCATTTAGCATATTGAGGAACTTGTTAGAAATGCACACTCCAGGCCCCATCCCAGAATTACTGAATAAGAAACTTTGTGGGTAGAACCCAGCAATCTGCTTAATCAATCTGTCCAGGTGATTTTAGTGCACATGGCATGAACACTAATGGCTCATTTGAGAACCACTGGGTTATGATATTGGAGACTTGAGCTCTAATCCTAGTTCTATTTAATACAACCTAATAGAATGAATACTTTAAGGGCAGATGCTTGACTTCTCTCATCTTCAGCTACTGGCTGGGAGGTTGAGGAGTTTGTGAAGGAAAGGGCTCAAGGGATAATCAGAGTTTCATAGAAGAACTTAACTAGGATGCATGAAGAGAGGACTCAAAACTAGGTCCAGCCCTAGCTGGTTTGGCTCGGTGGATAGAGCGTTGGCCTGCGGACTGGAGGGTCCCAGGTTCGATTCTGGTCAAGGGCATGTACCTTGGTTGCGGGCACATCCCCAGTGGGGGGTGTGCAGGAGGCAGCTGATCGATGTTTCTCTCTCATTGATGTCTCTAACTCTCTATATCTCTCTCCCTTCTTCTCTGTAAAAAAAGTCAATAAAATATATTTTAAAAAAAAACTAGGTCCAATGAGAAACAAGCAAAGGAATAGGAAGACTTGGCCCACAGAAGAGAAAGTTGGGAAGACATAATATCTGTCTTCGTGCATTTAAAGGATTGGTGTGTGAAATAGAGATTTTACTATGACTCCAAGATATAAAACTAGAGAGCCAGTAAAGTAAACTACAGGGAAATTCTGTTCAGCATAGTTTGACAAATTGTCTAACAGTCAAAGCTATTCAAAGAAGGGATGGACTACCTCATAAGATAGTGAGCTCTCTATTGTTAGAGGTACCCCATGGTAGGCAGTACAGTCACTTGAGTGATTGAACTAAAGTGACCTTTCAAGCTTCTCCCAATGTGAATATCTGATATCTGAAGTCTCTTCCTTAAGTTAGATTAATTCTATTACAATTTCATTGCATGTTAGTGGTTTTTTTAAAGATGTTGTTCCAGATTGTTTTGGGCTGGGCACCATAACTTTGAATCTATGTAATCTGTGAATCTGTAAAGTAGATGGTAGGAAGATGAGTAACATTAGAATAGCTATATTTCCAAAACTGAAATTGTTTGGTTTTGCTCTTAATTCCTGCTAGAGGCTGGCTATTGATTCAGTAATTATCTGGAATGAATAGAGGAGTAAGGTAACAAGTTCCTTTCCCAAATGTTGTAAAGCAAATTGTTTCTCCAGAATGTATAATTGAGAGATATTGTTGTACCTACAGGCTTTAAGAACTTAAGAGGACATCTTCTGGGAAATTCTCAGTTACGTAGTCATTGAATTGGAGTCATATAATTTCTGCTTCTCGATTGTGCTTGCACGTACACATGTAGGCACTAATATGTTTTTCTATACCCAATTGAGGAAAAGAAGTAGTCAAGAGACCTTTAACTCTAGGTTTTGATTACTTATCTAAATAAGTAATCATCTGTAGAAATTAACTTAGGTGAAATTTAGTTTCCTTGAGTTACAGACATATAGATGATTAACATCTAATTTTTAAATTTTTCTCTAAGAAAAGAGGCATGTAAATGTGACTATGTTTTATCTGACTATTCTTTCTTGACTTCGGGATAATATTTATAATTTAATATACTTAACATAATAATTATAAGAACCTACAATTCTCTCACATTAAATTTATATAGTAATAAAGTTAACTCCTTATCATGATTTTTGAAAGGATGACCACTTTATCATAAAAAAAAAAAAAGCTTGGCTAGTGTTGCTCAGTGGTTGAGTGTTGACTTATGAACCAGGAGGTCTCAGTTCAATTCCCGGTCAGGGCACATGCCTGGTTTGCAGCTTCAATCTCCAATAGGGGGGCTGCAGGAGGCAGCCAATCAATGATTCTCTCTACCTTGATGTTTCTCTCTCTCTCTCTCTCCCTTCCTCTCTGAAATCAATAAATATATATTTTTAAAAAATAATTGTTCAAAGTGTTTATTGGTATACTAGAGGCCCAGTGCATGGATTTGTGTACTGGTGGGGTCCCTCGTCCTGGCCTGCGCCCTCTTGCAATCCCAGGCCCCCTCGGGGGATGCTGGAGAGCCAGTTTTGGCCTGATCCCTGCTGTGCATTTGTGCACTGGACCCCACCAGTGCATTTGTGCACTGGGCCTCTAGTATGCATATAAGATCTTTGGTTAATCTTTTTCCACCCCCTCTTCCCTCAGATTCATCAGTCTGTTCCACGTTTCTATACCTGTGGTTTCTGCTCCTGTGTTTAGCCTCTGCCCCCTGGTGGTCAGTGCACGTCATAGCTACCAGTTGGATGGTCACATTATATTTCACCAAAGAATGAGCAATAATTTAACCCTGGAGGTTGGGTACTTAGGTTATATCCAATTTTTCACTCTTACAACATTCTGAATATTTTCATGTATAAAGCATTTTCTGTGATTTGAATTATTTTCTTGGAACAAATTACAGAAATAGAATTACTGTGTCTGATTTGGACATTTTAAAGATATTTGTGATAGTTGATAACATTGTGGGGTTTTTTAATGTGGTAGAGTAATGACGTTTTTACATAGACCGAATAGTCCCATGGATTATTATGTTAGGTTAAGCTTTATTATTCATGGTATACTTTGTAACTCTTTTTGGTTGTTGATATCTTCAGATTCTCTAGTAATAGTCAGTAGTCTGTTAAGCACTTTGCTCAAGACTGAAATGCTAATGCTTCTCTTTTTCAGGACTTGGAGGGAGTGGACATCATCCTAGGTGTCTGCTCTAGTGGCCTTCTGGTTTACAAAGATAAGCTGAGAATTAACCGCTTTCCTTGGCCCAAAGTGCTGAAGATTTCTTATAAACGTAGCAGCTTTTTTATCAAGATTCGGCCTGGAGAGGTATAGAATTTGTGTTTCTTTCCCCCCACCCCCCACCCCTGAATCAAACACAGACCATGTCTACAATATCTCGTCGCTTCCTTTTTTTCTTGTTATGTCATCTAAGAGGTCTCTCTATAGTTAACTATGCAGGAGCTGATATTCTATTTTCTCAGTCAGTCCTGTAATGCTGCTTTTCCTCCTTGCTACTGGTTTTCTGGGCTTTTCTCTTTATGTAAGTAAATATACCATGGCCAAAAGTGAAACTTGCATTGATAAACTTGTTCCTTGTTTACTCCAGGTAAAATCTTCATGGAAAATAGTTTTAACTTGAGTAGCATGAAATTTTTAAATTGAGGAGTTTAAGTTACTTATGTTTTGTACCACCAATCTTTTACTCATTTAATTAAAATGTATTTATATGCGTAGCTTCTAGTAGTTACTGGGAATATATTCCAGGCTCAAGTTCTAGATTTTTAATAAAGTTGTTTAACTTCGTGTCAGATAATTCAATTATTAGTTGGTGGGAAAGTTTCAGGATATATTAATGCTGACCAAATTTAACTTTTATATTAAATAGTCATTATGTATAGAGGAAAATTGTTTAAGTAGGAATTAAATTTTTTTAAAACTTCTACCTCCTACTCTGCCACCTACTAAGTAAAAGACCCTGGAGAAATCTAAGATTCAGCTTCTTTATCATTCAAGGTGGAAAATACCTTCTCTGTCAGGGTTGATTTGAAGATCAAATGAGAAGACAGCTGCAAAAAGTCTAAGCTGGAAAACATTATATTAATTTAGAGGGTTTTTTGTGTGTGTATATCACCATCTGCTGGTGGAAATGGCTCATTATTTGAGCATGGAAATACTGGATGTTCAGCCTTAAAAATCACATAAGAATGATCATTGAAGGATTTATTTAGTACCATAATTATTTACCTGTGCCTTTCACAGAACAATCTCTGTGTTCTGTTAAAGAGTTTCAAACTAAGAGTCATTCAGTCAACAGATATTTATTGAGGGCATTCTTTGTGCCATGCACTACTCTAGTGAGTAGACAGTGAATAAAAGTCCTTTTATTTTTGTGGGAAGGCGCACGCGAACGCACACACACACACACACACACACATTTTAATAAATTTGATAATAGAAGTTTTTGGTTTCTTTAAATGTCAACTATATAATATATACTAAAATTGCAGAATTCTTACTTTAAGAACACAACCAGGAACAACAGTAGGATTTCAATAAGTGTAGTATTATGACTATAGTAGATGATTTGGAAGTAGCATGGTTTAGTGGAAACCAAGAAATTCTGGTTATGCCACTTCATAACTGTGAAACTGAGAAGTAACTTGTCTGACCTCAGTTTTTTCATGTGTAATACGATCTAGTTATAGCATATTGGCAATAATAGGCACTAGAAATAAATGTCAGTTTCCTTTCCATCTTAAAAAGTATGCTTAAAGCAGACTAGCAGGATATGGTTTGCTTCAGTCAAAGAGGTATCAAGATAAATTAATGATCAATTAAAGTAAAAGAGAGAAGGCAATTAATAATTCAAGAATTGGTTAGAGCCAAAATCTTTCATCTTTAAAAAAATTTTTTTTGTAATCCTCACCCGAGGATATTTTTCATTGATTTTAGAGAGAGTGGAAGAGAGAGGGAAAGACAGAAATATTGATGTGAGATAAACGCATCAATTGGTTGCCTCCTACATGAGCCTGAACAGGGCCAGGGCTGAGGATGAGCCTGCAGCCTTGTTGGTTGCCTCCTACATGAGCCTGAACAGGGCCGGGCTGAGGATGAGCCTGCAGCCTTGCAACCGGAATCAAACCTGGGACCCTTCATTCCACAGGCCGATGCTCTGTCCACTGAGCCAAACTGGCAAAATGTTTCATGCCGGGAGCCGGTCCATCCTTGCTGTTTCAAGGGACCTGGCATATATGGCATACTGTTCTTAATATGTTTGGTCACCTTCTTGGCACTATGTGTTTTAACCAAGGTCACCTCTCCGAGGGGGGTTATTTCCCCAGGTAGAAATTTTCCCCTGAATTTAGGGAGGGAATAAAACCTCTTAACTGCCAGGCGGGTAATTAATCACTATCTTTACTCCCTGGAATAGCGATAAGAAACACTCTAACCTTTGCAATAGAAATTGACAGGATTAAAATCAACTGGTATAAATACAGATGTAACAAGACAATAACCACCAGAACTTCACTGGAGATCCAGACCGGAACTTGGCTGGAGATCTTGGCTAGAGATCCTGGCTAGGCTGCTGATCAACTGAACGCTGTTTCTGTGTCATTCCTTCTTCGCTGACTCCGTCCACACCTTTGGGGACCCCTGGACCTGCTGGGGTTGGACCCCAGCAGTTTCATCTTTAGCTCCTATTACTAAAAAAACAATAAATAAATAAAATTGCATAATAATATTGTTTGATTGGAGGAATCATCTACTATCTCATTCCCTGAGCATTAAGTAGTCTAGTATCCCAAGTGCAAATGATGACTAAGAAAGAGCCCTGTCTGGACAATCAAAAGGTAACTTAATGATGACCCAGAAAAATGTACTCTGTATGTGTGTGTTTCTGAGCAAAATAAGATGCATAAATAATATAAGATGCATTTCTTGGCTTCCTTGTTGTGGAAAAAGCCACCTCGGTGAGTAAATTTCTTTTTGTAAGTAGGAAAATATTTTAAATATTTTATGCCTTTAGGGATGTTCTTTTTATTCTTGATGACCTTTTCTGTAGTACCATATTTCTCTGGTCCTTATCACTATAGTCAAATAATCCTTTATGTTCAATGTTTATTTGTGTTTTTATAGCAAGAACAGTATGAAAGTACCATCGGATTCAAACTTCCCAGTTACCGAGCAGCTAAGAAATTATGGAAAGTCTGTGTCGAGCATCACACATTTTTCAGGTATTGTTCTCACTTTAGTATTTTTCAAGGATAAGTTGTTTATGCAAGTTTCTGTTTTAAGTCTGCTATTAAAATTCTCTTTGAATGGCTGACATTTTTTTATTTAGCTCAGGTAAGACCATCTTAAGCAAGACAAAATGAATCCAGTTCTCCTTTGGGTTGAAAAACATGCCTCAGAAAAGAAAAAAAAGAAAAAAGAAAAACATGCCTCAGCATTCCCAGAGCACCTTTCTGTGTGTGGTAGTAGGAGTAGAGAAGTGAAGATAGGAACCTGTGTTTATTGGGGGCTCTGTGATTGCTCTAACTGGAGCTGAAATCAATCCTATCAGGAGGAGGTACCCTGACTACCTCCACATGTAATTTCTCTAAGTAGTGCTTAACTACTTTCTGTGTGGGGCTTTTTAACTGAAAGATGAAAGGTATGAAGCTGATCATTATCTTGGCTCTAATCAACCCAGAAAGGGAGCACAGAGAACCATCTTTGAAGCTCAATCGTATCAGATGATCAGAAGAAAGTTTTCTTCCCTCTGGTTTTCAAGAGGCCATATCATTAACCCCCGTCTTCATTTACCAAGCATTTTCTCAGTGTAGGTACCGTACTAGAAGATAGTTCTATTCCCTGTCCTGATAGAACATGCAGTCTAGCAGAGAACACAGACCTTAGACAGATTACTGTGTTGAAAGGAGAGTCAGCTTGTTATTGTCAGCTTGCCTTTTTAAGAAAAGTTCTTTATAATGGAAAATTGCATACATAACAACAGTAAAGAGACTAGTACAGTAAAGAAACTAGTATAATGCATATCACCCAGCTTCCATAATTATCATCCCAAGGCCAGTCTTGTTTTATCTATTATGCCACCCAATTCTTCCCACTACTTCCTAGATTATTTTGAAGCAAATCCAAGACCTCATGTCACATCATTCATAAATAAACTTGATTCTCAAATGGCTCTCAAAAGAGAGAATCATGATATATTTTCCTTCTAGTTGTATTTTTCATTTCATACTTAGTATTACAGCACATTGGACAGGAAGAAAAGCCAGGGAAAATAACATTTAAATTCTCACTTAAAAATAAAACATGAGGATACATTTTATACCCATTTAAAGAATCTTAATCATTGACTTTAAGATTTTTGTTTATGCTTTCATCATCCTCTTCTTTAAAATCAAACCAATAGAATAGAGTTTTTAAAAAGGGTAAGGAAAAGTAAAAAAAAAAAAAAGTTATTTTGAGTTTTAATATCTATGCTATAGATTTCAGCTACAACCAGTGTATTTACTTGTAGGATAGCATATTTAAATCCATTGCATCAAAATAAGAGGCTAAATTAATATGTAATGCTTCGTTACATAAAAGAAAGTCAGTATTTGCTGAATTAAAATAAACGATCCCCAAGGAAAAAATACTTTTTTTATAGTATTTGATGTAATAATTTATGTATTTATTCAGCAAACATTTATTGAGTTCCAAATTCATGCCAAGCACTATGCCAGAAGTGAAAACATAAGGATGAATAAGTGGAGACCAGCACATAAATTGTTTCAATTCAGTGTAGTAAATGCTGTGACTAAAGAGAGCACAGGGTACTGCATAAGAAGATGGGGTTCCTAACTGAGTTGAAAATACACTAAATAACCTATTAAATAGGTTACCAGGGATTAATTGAGTTTGGAGTGCATTTGACAAAATTATTCTAGTAGAGTGGAAAAAGACCTCTGATTTACAATAGCTAAGATTTGGAAACAGCCTAAGTGCCCATCAGCAGAAGAGTGGATTAGAAAACTGTGGTACATCTACACAATGGAATACTACGCTGCTGTATAAAAGAAGGAATTTTTACCATTTGCAACAGCATGGATGGAATTGGAGAGCATTATGCTAAGCAAAATTAGCCAGTCATAGAAAGATAAATAGTACATGATCTTACTCATTTGTGGAATATAATGAAAAACATAAACTGATGAACAAAAACAGAACCAGAGTCATGGAAGCATTGAATAGACTGTCCAACCTATGAGAGAAGGTGGAGGGGTGAGGGGGTAAGAGATCAACCAAAGGACTTGTATGCATGGATATGAGCATAACCAATGGGCACAGATAGGGAGGAGGGTCGGGGGGGATTTGCTGAGGTTGGGGGCAGCCAGGGAGAGGTCAGTGGGGGAGAAAGGAGACTTATGTAATACATTAAGCAATAAAAAAGTTAAATTAAAAAAAAGGAAAGAAAAAGAGCTCTGTTACTGCCCAACCTTTTTACAGCTATGTGACCTTAAGCAAGTAACTTCTTTTTTGAGGTTCACTTTCTTCTATCAATAAAATGATAACAATATTACGAGGATATAGTGAAAATGTTACAGTGCTATAAAAGGATTTTGAAAACCATAGGCCCTGTCTACAGAGATATAATAATATAAGATGATACTAATATAAGTAAATTATACATGTTGCTTGGAGAAATGACATAGAATTAAAATAATGATTGCTTGATTTAAAATATGTATTAGTAACTATAAGGAAACTGAAAATTTTGAAATTTTTAAAATCTAGATTTTTGTCTTTAATCTCACAGTATCAGTAGAGTGAGATTGAATATATTATATGGTCATTATGGTATTTTCCCCCCAGACTGACATCTACAGACACCATTCCTAAAAGCAAATTTCTTGCACTGGGATCCAAATTTCGATACAGTGGCCGAACTCAAGCTCAAACCAGACAAGCTAGTGCTCTGATTGACAGGCCAGCCCCACACTTCGAGCGTACAGCAAGCAAACGGGCGTCCCGGAGCCTCGATGGAGGTTTGTATTGAATTTTGGTGATTTCCTATGAATCTAACTCTTTAGGGAGAGATAAAGGAAGTACAGTTATCTATAAGAGAACCAAATTAAAGAATGTCATTGGTAAAATGAGATGGATCTCACTAATTATCTAAGTCAGTGGAATCTTCTTAAACAAAGAAAAACTGAGGTTCAGAGAGAGTAGTAACTAGACCAAAGTTCCACTGATAGGTAGTAGGAGGTTGAATACGAATAGAATTAGAATTCAGAGCCTCTACTGCAGAGTGAAACTTAATGTAGTATATTGAACTAAAGCCTTCTTGAATGTTTTTGTTTGATCCTCACCCAAAGATATGTTTCTGTTGATTTTTTCTCTTTTTAGAGAGAGGAAGAGAGAGAGAGAGCTATCAATTGGTTGTCTCCCGTATGCACCCCGTCTGGGGATTGAACCTACAACCTAGGTATGTGCTCTGACCGGGAATGAAACCCACAACCTTTCGGTGTATAGGACAGTGCTCCAACTAACTGAACCACCAGGCCAGGGCCCTCTTGAATGTTTTTAAATAGTTTTGGGTTTTTTTCCAAGTAGAAAAGAGGAAAAGGGTCTGCCTCACTAGAGCAATCAGTTATTTTAGATCATTTGTCATGTGGCAATTATATACAGAAAAAGCAGTCCTATTATTGGAATCTCCAAATTTTCTTTAAAATAGGGAGAAAATAAATAAGTTTCGTGATTGTGTATTCTAACCGAAGATCTGTCTGAATTTTTCTCAGTATCAAGAATTTGAGAGCATTACTGAAATGAAGTAACAAGCCATATTCAGTTCTTTATGCCACTAAGAAAAGAAAAGGTGGCTAATAAATAAAAGTTCAGAAGTCAGTAACCAAAGTAGAGTATTGATATATCTGGTGCTCAGAGCATCTTCTTCACTAGCCGAAGAAGTAAAACTGGTTCAGATCCTTGTGACAGAGTGGTAAGTCACAAGGATAGCTAATAAAGATGACAAGGATCTTTCAACTTATTTTTTTGTTGCCCTTTTTGCTTTTCAAGCCGTTTCCATATATTCCTATTTAGTAACAAGACACATTTAGGAATTCTTGTTTTGCTCATAAGGAAACTAGGGCACAAAAAAAGTTATATAACTTGTGAGTGTCCCACAACCAGGAAGTTAATCCATTCTTCGATTCTTGCCAGGGGAATACATTCCTATCATTTTTTGGAGCTTTAAACAAATCCCCAAGCCTGACTCTTAGATGTCTCATCTGTCTGTGGTGGACCTGGGCAATAGTCGTTTTTAAGATCCACAGCTAATTCATGTGGGGTCCCTCTGGTAATGGAACCACTGATCCATTGCATACCTATTGTGCCTGTACTATACTAGCAGAAGCTGTGCTAGTAAGTTACAGAGCTAGAACTGGAAGTTAAGACTCCTTTTACTCAACATGATGGTTTTGAGTTTTACTCTTTATTGCTATAATGTATAAATGTCTAAGTTTCTGTTGTCAGAGGGAGCAATATAATACTGGAATTAATGGGCTCATAAGATGATCACAACCAGCACTCCAGAAATGGGAAATAATTGAATTTTTCAGGTTAAATGTTCTCTACAGACGCATCAAGGTCTTGTATTAGTTAACAAAAGAATTTATTAAACTGAAGAGCCAAAGCATCTTAAAAGTATTCACTACCTGCAACACTGTGAATATACTAAAAACATTGAATTATGCACACTAACTGGGTGAATTGTATGGTGTGTGAATTAATATCTCAATGACCACAGTCACTGCCATGATTCTCTTTTCTGATCCATAGTTTGTAGTAGTTTGATTGAGAAGAGGAAAGAAAGTTCTCTCCAGGGCTCCCAGGTTATATTTATCACTTGAATTGCATATCCATGAATATATAACTAATTTTTGCTCCACATGCTCTTGAAATATTAACCCATAACAAAAGAAATACAAAGACTTAGGTATGACATTAAAAGTTATTAATAGTTAGGGTTTATAAAGTATTTTTATAGCCATTGAATATACCTTCCCTGGTATTCTGTGGAGTTAATATCTTCCACATTTTACTAATGATGCAACTTTCTGCCTCTGTTTCAGCTGCCAGTTTCCACACTTTTACCTACTTTTCCACATGCAGTACAGATTGCCAGGGCTAGGAATGCTGGAGGCACACATCATTTGGCTCTGCAGTATTAGTATTGTATTAAAACCAAACGCAAGTGGCAAAATAACACATGGTGAAAGCACGGGCTATGTTTCTGCAATGCCAGTCAGAGTTGAATTAATTCTTTGAGAGGAGGTGTGAATACACATGTATAATGATACTTCAACACAACTGTCAGCAAAATATTTTATCACATTCCCCTGTGTTGTTAGAATTGGTCTACCATCTGCCATTCTTGCATTGACTAGCTTAGAGCACCCATGAGAAGCAGGGACTTGCAACAGGGCAGAGTTTTCATCGAAAGATAAAGTAGGTTATTTTATTTCTGCTGTTATACCTATGTGTCCTCTGAGGAATGATTTCTTTCACTGGAGATCATTATAGGGTTATGAGCATTTCTTTCTTGGTGTTGTGTATATGAAGTAGTTGTGAATTTCATCTTTTTTATCCGTTCTGATTCATGGAATTTTTTTGTTTTACCTAATCCTTACTGTTTATAAGTCTAAATTTATCAGGAGAAGTTAAATTCAGTCTACTCGGTTTAAGAAGGCAAAAACATGTGTGATACAAATTGTAAAGGTTTTCATGCAAAATAATTAAAATTTAAAAGTCTCAGTACATGCAAGGATGAATTGTTATCAGAAATATTAAATCATGTACAAACACACTGCAATCCTAGACACTGTTGGGTGAGATTTTACTACAAAGTGTATAGATGTTTTCTTTTAGTCCCTGGAAGAAGGAAGATAAAAATCATAAGAGTGTGAATGATTGCTTTGAAATAAGCGATCTGAAACTTAGCTGTCAAATAGTCGAAACCAGAACTCTGAAGAGATCAAGATTTTGTCATAAACCTATATTGAATATTCTCTCCAAAAGGTTAGTTAACCTCAGCAACCTTAGCCTGTACACTCTGTATGCCAGTACCTCCTTCCACTTCTCTTCCCAGTTGTAACAACCAAAAATGTCTCCAGACATTGCCATGTGTTCTGTGGGAGGCATAAATTACTCCTGGTTGAGAGCTGCTGGCTTAAATATATTCGAGAATAGGAGTTATAATACAAATTGATAAGACTCAAGGAGATGGTGGGACAGAACCTAAAAGGTTAGAGGTATTTCTGGTGTGATTTTTTTTCCCAAGGACTAACAGCCAAACATTTTGAATTCATATTATTTTAATCACATGACTTATTAAAAAGGAAAGTGTTGTGTTCAAAGATTTACCCTTAAACATGCACCAAAAGCATACTGTCTTAAAAGATCCATTTACCGCCCTAACTGGTTTGGCTCAGTGGATAGAGCATCGGCCTGCAGACTCAAGGGTCCTAGGTTCGATTCCGGTCAAGGGCATGTACCTTGGTTGCAGGCACATCCCCAGTGTTGGGTGTGCAGGAGGCAACTGATCGATGTTTCTCTCTCATCGATGTTTCTAACTCTCTATTCCTCTCCCTTCCTCTGTGGAAAAAAAAGCCCCAATAAAATATATTTTTTTAAAAAAAGATCCATTTACCAAGTTATTTTGTAATCATTCTGAGGAGGCTTCACAGAAGAAATCGAGCTTATTCCTTTTCCCTAGAATATACTTTTAGGTTCCTGAAATTACCCATAAGTGAATAGATCTTTATTTGTTTTTTTAAAAAAATTATTTTTGTTGATTTCAGAGAGGAAGAGGGAAGGAGAGAGAGAAACATCAATGATGAAAGAGAATTATTGATTGGCTGCCTCCTGCGCATGCCCCGTACTGGGGATTGAGCTTGCAACCCGGGCATGTGCCCCACTGGGAATCCAACTGTGACCTCCTGGTTCATAGATCAATGCTCAACCACTGAGCCCGGCTGATCTTGAATAAAGATCAGCCGGGCATAGATCTTTATTTCAAAGAGGCTTCATGGAAGAAATAAGACTTGATTAAACCCCTTCTTTTTCTACATAGACTGCATTATAGGTTCTTGAAACAAACAGATTACTAGGTTATACAATCTTGGTAACTTTTTAATAAAATGAGTTTTCAATTTCTTTTCTTGTTTTGATGTCAGCACCTCCACGCCTGACTCCTGTTAATGGAACATGATCACCTGCACATTTTAGTTTTTTTCTTATTGCCATCAATTACCTGGTTGAGCAGTACTAATGATTTATTTTTGTACCTTCTGTGTGATAGTCCACTGGACGCTGTAGCATTCATATGGTCACCTGGTGACTTCGAAGTAGTACAGTAACTCTTGCCTTCACTTATTCTCTTTTCCTTTTCTCACATAACAGCGGCTGTCGATTCAACAGACCGAAGTCCTCGGCCCACTTCTGCACCGGCCATTGCTCAGAGTCAGGACACAGAAGGCAGTGTGCCAGGTGCACCTGCCAAAAAAACAGTGGTTTCTAAAGCACAGAAGGAAACAGTGAAGGACGAAGTGAAAAAGGAAGAAGTGCCACCTGAGCAAGCTGAGCCAGAGCCCACAGAAGTGTGGAAGGTATGTCGTAAGTCCACGTATCTGGCAAATTAACTTTCCCATTTAGAGGTGTTAACTGCTTGACCAGGAAGGTTTTCAAAGCATTAATTCCTATAGAATCCTTACAAAGTTATTTCTCCCTTACTCTTTCTTAAAGAACTGTACCTCCCATGAACCTGTAAAATGTTTTCATAGAATGTTTTCAATGTCATGAAGACTGTGAGCTATTCAGAAGTTTTCACATGACCCAACCTTAACTCAGCTTTTATCTAAAAAAGAAATAATAATAATAATAAGAAGAAGAAGAAGAAGAAGAAGTCTATAAAACATGGCAGCACTGTGATCGTCTGCTTTTAAAAATGTTTTACTCATCCAGAAGGAATACCTGTATTCCTTTTTAAGAGTAAACCATGCTAGTGTGATAAAAATACAATTTGTTTTCCCTAAGTTGGATATGTGTGTAACACAGCCAGAGATTATCCAGGTATTACATAAATTGCATCTATGTGGTTGTTGCTTTCCAAAAAGAGGAAGATCCAGTATGTGGAAGAGGTTATGCTACTGACTTACTTACAGTTCTGAGTTGATTGTACCCTTAGTCACCGAACCGTATTGAAAAATTACTAATTTAATTAGCAGATTTTCCAGGAGTAACAGTAACTGGACTGATCTTTTATGTGTTGATAAGTGGTGAGGGAGTTGAGGTGCTAGTTCAGATTTATTGAAGTAAATACAAATCTCTCTTTTGACAACAGAAATTAATAGACTCAGTCTTTATAAGAAAAATGATGCCTTTATATGTCTGTTTAGAAATTTAAAACCATATAAGACCTTAGTAAGTGCTCTCACCTTGGCAGATGGATTAATTTTGTTCTTTTGGAGTCAGTTCAACATCTAGTTTATCTGTAGAGCAGAGGGCAAGTTGGCTCTGTGTTGATGGTATTAAAAAGAAACTGTGTAATACAACATGCAGTTTTCACTGTCCTTTGAGATCAACTTGAGTCCAGAGAGAAAACAAAAAACATTTGAATGATGGGTGTTTGCATTTTTGTACCAGCCAAATGTGCATGACACCAGCCATCCAGTTCAATGTCAACAGTGCCTTTTTCATGTTAGACTACCCAGTTTAAAGTTACGATCTCTTACCTGGCACTTCTGACTGTTATACTAACTGGAAAGTGTTGGATTACTGGAGTTGACAAGGGAATCTTTTTGAATGACAAAAGATTCCTTTGCCTATAAGCAGACACAAGTATCTTCAAGAAAGGTTCCCTTTGCTCTTGGGACCTCAGCAGAGTGGAGAGATCGCTTTCTGGTATATGGTCCCCATTTAAGTGCCTGAAGGGGGTCTTCTTGCCAATTAATTCTGTATAATATTGTTTTGAGATACTTGTGTTGAGATCAGACTGAAAACCACCTGTGATGACCACCTATTACTATAATACAGTACAGAATTAAGGGTGACTCTGAGTTGATTTTATTTGTAGCAGTTAAATAATTATGGAATTTACTTGAGTCATATTTTTTACTTGAGCTATATTTTTATATAAAGCAATAGCAGTAATAAAGTAGTCTTGTAGCTGTGTAAATTTCACTATCTAACACTAATTTGGTGCCAGATAGAGAGAGCTTTTTGGCATCTTGAGTCATTTGACAAGTCCTGTTTTGCAGGTATGTACATCTTGTCACTTAAGGTTCTCTGTAGGGGGCATACACAGAACTACTGCTGCTACTTGTCCTCCATTCTCAGACCGAAGTAGAGGCTCTCAATTTCTGCTGTTGGACTGCTAGGAACCCAAAGCAAAAATATCATTATTCATTTACACAAGTAATTTAAGCTTTACAAAATAATTAAAAACTACCATTTGCTAAGCATTCACAAGTCTATGAAAATATCATTTCCACCTTATCAATAAAAAATTTAAACTAACTTAAACTCAGAGAGGTGAAATAACTTAGTTTATTTAATCACATAACCAGTATACTGGGATTCAGAATAGAACTGACCTAAATTGTTAATTACCCTTGGTAGTTAAAAGTGCTATTATGGATGTGTTTCTGACCTGACAGGGTCACAAGATTTGGTGTTATCTTATGTTCTTCACAGTCAGTCCTAGAGAAAATAGCACAATGACATTGTACTTTGAAGTTATGCTGCCAAGCGTGTTAAAAATAAACCCACTGATCGATTTGGTTATTTAAAGAACTTGATGCAAAGCGTCTGAGTTGACCCTTAATAAAAACAGTTTTCTAATTTTGAGGTATCCAGTGCATTAGGCATTGCTCACTTTATTATGCTTTCTCTTAATAGTCTGTCTAGTGTTTGTTTATTTATACTTACTCCATTTGGGGTATATGAAATGACTATTACTAAAGGTATTTCAAAGCTAGGCAGGAGGCCTTAGTTATTCTCTTCTTAGTATTAAGGATGAATCTTACCCATTCACCAAACAGATGGGCTCCAGCTGCCTAGAGAGATTATAGAATGTTGAATACTGCAGCTGAGCCCTGTGTGTGCATATTTATAAACCAGCCTTAGTAATAATTGCATGCATTAGTAACAGTTTGGATTAAGTTTATTTTGATGTTTTGTTGTCTAATAAACTCGAGAGTGAAACTGCCTCCTTAAATATATTGGTCAACTAACAAAATGTTTTATATTTACCTGCTTGGTGTTATATGTGTGCTTTAACTGCAAAGATTTTCTTTTTGTTTCTAACTATCATGTATGTCACACATTGATATCTTCATTTGTAAATTTGTTTTTAAATGTTATTTAAGGTACCTCTAGATCATTAAAAAAGCAAAACAAAAACATACGGCTTTTTTAAGCCTAATTATTTTTAGTACGTACTTTTTTATAAATAAGTATAAAATGTTCATCAGTAGGATAATTACCTTAGTTTTCTTTACTGATCACTTGCTGTCCATATTACCTCTTCAGCCTTGAAAATGTGATGAACTAACAGATTGCCTTTGAGAGTAATGACCCTCCCTCTTACACCCCCTAAAGGCTGCATCATGATGATTACATATCAACTTATTTTACAACCAGCTTACAGATGCGGCTTTTTTGAAAATAATGCTATTCATAGGAACCTACTAACCTAAAATGTTTTTAACCACTTTATTTCTTAAATGTAGGGGGAAAAAAAAACCCACATCGAGGTCACAGTACCCACCTCAAATGGTGACCAAACACAGGTTTGTGCCAGTAGGACACTTGTTCCTTTTCCCCTCCCTCCTCAATTTTTATTTCTCCCAACTCCCCTCTCCTTAAAAAAATTAAATTAAATTAAGGTTCCAACTAACTTTAATGAGCCAATATTTTATCATTTTTCTTTCTTTTTTTTTAATAATGGCAAAACAGAAGCTTGCAGAAAAAACTGAAGATCTGATAAGAATGAGGAAGGTTAGCCATTTTTCACTTTCACAAAACTGCATTAGCATCACCCATGCTGACTTTTACAGTGCATTAAAAAGACAGTGATCCATTCTTTTCATTGATTTCTCTTAATCAGAAATTACTTTCAAGTAAAGATAGATGTATATTATGCATATATGCACACACATATGATACAAAAGACATTATAATCCTATACTATAATTGAAAAATTTCGTTCAAATAAACTTTCCAGTAGAAAAATACCTTTTGAAACACAGTAAAATGATTAGTAAAGGCCAAACCTATCCTTTAATAAATTTTATAAGAAATATTTCACAGTGGCACCATATTCTTGAAATCGTTGGCAATATTGTATACATATTTATTATGGAAACCATCATAGCATTTCCCAGTACTGTTAATAACTGGGTTTGACTGCTCTGTGCCTCTTTCTTCCCAATTATAGAGTGAGATGAATCAGTTTCTGCTGAATATAATATTGAATGATCGTATATAAAATACCCATAGATCTTTCTTATGAAAAGTATTAGAGATGTACATATTGCATTATGAGTATGTATAAAATGTCAAAAAACTAAGTAATGCTTTTTAAAATATATTTCTTTATTGATTTCAGAGAGGAAGGGAGAGGGAGAAAGAGATAGGAACATCAGTGATAAGAGAGAATCATTGATCAGCTGCCTCCTACATGCCTCCTGTTGGGGGTCAAGCCCGCAACCCGGGTATGTACCCTTGGCCGGAATGGAACCTGAGACCCTTCAGTCCACAGGCCGAGGCTCTCTCCACTGAGCCAAACCAGCTAGGGCTAAGTAATGTTTTAAAGTATTTAGCTATTCCAGAGATACAGGAAGGAACATGGAGTTTTAATGCTTCTTAAAATCATGTGTTAAGATAACCCCTCAAACAGGTCAATTTAAAAAATGAACATAAAACATCTTATTATATAAGAAGCCAATGAAGCCAGGAGCACTGTCTGTTTAAATAACATCATCACATTCTTCCATCGTTCATAGACAAGGTCATCCATTTCCCAGTGGTAATCATGTTCTCTGTGTGTCCTTGTGGTTCTGTGACCATTTCATGTTGGCTTTGCTGCGCTGTGGACATTTAATTTTAAACAATTTTTGGTTTGCCAATTTGCAGTTTTTCCCCGCAAGAACAGTATTTTAATTTTTTATGCTTTCTGTTTTTCCCCTCTTTCATTTTCACAGAAAAAGAGAGAGAGACTAGATGGTGAAAACATTTATATCAGACATAGCAATTTAATGTTGGAGGTTTGTATGAACTTGAAGCTTATTTCATTTGGTTGCCTGTAACTTCCTGCATTCTTTGCTGATGCCCCTTTCTTCTTTCTGTGCTGCGTTTGGTTTTGCATGCCATTGCATGGGAGAATTTTAGGTTTAAAATGCTTTTGCATGTTGGTAAACACAAAGATATGTAACCATCTCACCTGATTCTTTTTAGTTTCCATCTCTCATACTTACCTAAAAAATATATGATTGGGAATACCTTTGCCTCTTGTGGTTCCATTGTTTTACCTACTTTTAGAAAATTTTACATCTCTGTTAAAAAAAATTCATTGAATTTTCTAAGAGTATAAACTGCTACATGTTCCAAGCATCAATTTTTTTTATCTTCTGAACTGAGTGTGGAAAAGCAAGAGAAATGACCACAATTCAAAATGGACTTAAAATTTTGGAGATACCAGGAAATGATGGAAGGACAGTCAGAGGGAAGGAAAAGACACAGAAAGGAGAGAAGGGAGCCTAGCATTTAATGAGTAGTTACTATGACCTAAGATGGTTTAATCATAAAAACAGGTATGTGGGTATGAGATTATTATTTTAAAGATGAGAAAATTGAAGCTTAGAGAAATTAAGTAATTTCCATATGGTCACAGAACTGGTAAATTGGTAAAGCTAGGGTTTGAGGTAGACCTGTCTAACTCTATTACACTACTTTTCCCCCCCCCCAACTAAGAAATAGCAACATACCGTCGATTATAGCAATTGTAAGGTCATTTTCCCATTACAGTCAACATTGGTGAGAATTTTATCAGAGTTATGTTGCATACTTTATCTAGTTTTGGGCTCCATATTGGATAGGGATGCAAAGTTAATTAGAAGATTTGGAGAACTCTGAGGAAAAAATAAGGAAATGAATTATTCTGTATAGAGAAAAAACTGAGGCTATGTTAGTTTACACATCAAAAAACTCATATAGAAGTTGATGATCAAATTATTCTACAATTCCACTCAAAACAGAGCCAAAAGAAACAACCACAAACTCTGATATCAGGGATTTAACTTAGTTATAAAGGAAATATAAATATACAGGAAGATGATGAACATGGTTTCAGCCTTCAGAAGGCTTATAGTGTGAGGAAGTGGAGAGGAGAGTAACAATAAACAAGTAAACAAATAGTAATAAAATGGTTACAAGTTGTTATAAAAGCAATGAAGGAAATAAACCCTAGGTTGTGCTAATAAAAGGGATCTACTGTGAATAAGTTGGATAGGAAAGTTCTCTCTCTGAAGAGACAACATTTTAGTTGAGACCTGAAAGATGAGCATATATTAAATGTGGTCAATACTATTAATCTGGAAGATTAAAGAAACTTTAAGATAGATCACTGATTTAATGTAATGGTCTCTAATAATTACTTAAGCTCATCTTATTCTTTGTCAAAACATAAATTTTGAGTGCCTGCTATGTATATATAAGGTACTTTGATGAAAGTAACACAAGTTATGGCCAGCCTTCATTAATCATGTACTATGTGGTGGGTACAATATCAAGTGCTCTACGTACATTTACCTCATGTAGCATGAGGTTTTTCAAAGCTGGACCCTAGGATATTTCAAGCGTGGCAACTAGATCTCTTTGCTTTAGCCCATAACTAAAACTAGACCTGAATGCTTCCTCTTCTGAGATTAGGAAAAATAACTGATTTCAGTTGATCTCCTTGAACTCAGCAATATAGCCTCTCCTAATTCCAAACATGCCAGTTTCTTGGCCTCCTCTTAACTGGAACCTGCAGTACCAATCATATATTTGTCATTTGTTTCATGAGGTGTGTTATGGCTTCTGAGACTCATAAAGTCCCTGTGTGTGGTGTGTTTTTCCCCAGCATTTCACTGACAGCCATGAGAGGGGATTTCTAATAAGTGTGTGCTTGAAAATTAAAACTACTAACTACCTTTTGAGAATATTTTATATTTAATGAAGTGTTTTGGTTTGATTGCTGCTAAAATTAAAATAGGATAGGCATCAAAAAGTGTCTAACCTGAGAACAGCCAAAGTAATTTGGCTAACCATCATTCTCTAGTTATTATAAAAGTTTGGGTGTGGTTTTTTTTTCCTCTTAGGAAATTCTCTCAAGTTATCTGTCACTCTAGCAGTTGTTTTTTGTTTTTTTTTAAGCGTCCCTCCTCCCTCTACTCCTACCCTACCCCCACTAATGCTTTGTTCTGGCACAAATAAGGTCGGGTTAATTTTTAGATGTACCGCCTCCTCCTCCTCCATCTCCCAGAGGGAACCTGTAGCAAGTGTCTATGACAAATTCTATTTGGAACAGGTCCCTTTGAGCTCTTAATTCTACTCTGTGCCCCCACAGGTTTCCAACAGCCAGCTAAGAAGGATGGAGAAAGCTCCCTCAGAAACCACTGATGTTATTGAAACATTTATTTTCTCAGGTTCCAAGCCAGAGAAAAGCTAGGCAAGAAGAGTAACAAACTCTCGTGTTAAAAGGTTAACCTAGAGAGTCATAGTCTTACCATAGCATCTCTTGCTCATTTATATTTTACTCCATTCGTTCTTTTAACTCTCCCCCAAATGTTAAGTGTTCTTGGCCTGAGCGGATTTAATTTCCAGTCAGGTGCTGGGTCACAGGTCCTTACATGCCTGGTGAGTTCAGATGCTCAGCCTACTACAGAGTCTTTGAGCTTGTTTATGCCTTTTCTCTAGCTAGTAAACATGCTTTTCTTGCTTTCACATAGAACAAAAGTGCAAACTGTTGTTTCCCCATGGTGAAGCCCATGTTCATGAGCTATACTTACACTTCATCCCAGAAAGCAAGAGGTACTCTTATACGGGAGCTACAGGATTGCCCTTTTGGGGTTAGTTTTCTCTTTGAATGACCGCAAATCAAATATACATGGTTCATTCTTTTTTTTTTTTTAATATATTTTTATTGATTTCAGAGAGGAAGGGAGAGGGAGAGATAGATAGAAACATCAATGATGAGAATCATTGACTGGCTGCCTGCTGCACGCCCCCTACTGGGGATTGAGCCCACAACACAGGTATGTGTCCTTGACCGGAATCGAACCCCGGACCTTTCAGTTCATAGGCCGACGCTCTATCCACTGAGCCAAACCGGCTAGGGCTACATGGTTCATTCTTGCAAAAATAAAAGGCATGGACTACTAAATGAATTTTCTGAATGAATATCTCCAGAATCAAAGTTGTGTCATGTGCCTTACTGTTTCTTTTTTCCTATGCTATTGGTTATTTTCCCTTTGACACTGCTTTTGAAAAATATCTAATGTAGTTGAAGCCTAAATTGCTGCAGAAAAAACTTTTAAAACAAATTTTTATTTCAGTGAGTTCCATTTTTTTTCCAAATGAGGCTGTTCCCCACAAGAGTAAAAAAGAAAAAAAGAAGACAAATCCCAAAATTCACATTGCATATTAGGAGATATATTTAGTGTTTTGCTTTTCTTGGATACAGAGCTGCCTTGATATATAACAAACAGAATTTTTAGCAGTCATCAGGTGACAGGCTCCCACATATTTTGATCTCAAGTATAAATCTTTTGAGTTTTTTCAGAGAAGAATTTTGGCAAAGAACATTTGAGTTTTTGTCTTCAAGTTGTATTTCTCAGATTATTTCTGGCCAAATCTCCCTTTTGAAAGTTGTTATATACCTCCCATTACTTAAACCTAAGTATTTCTCATTATTACAAGCTTTACCAACCTTAGTTTTGATCATTTCTCCCTAGAATATGCCCTTTAAGTGCCTACCCCTGGTTGTCCAGTATGCACATCTGCTGGAACAGTTGAGGTATTTTAAATTGTCAAGGAGGTATATAAATTATTTTATGAATTCTTGTTAAATCACTCCCAATTCATTGACGTTTAGTAGAAGAAGGCCCCTATTTTTTAATTGTACTAAGGGATAAAGTGAAGCTGTCAGAGGCTGGAAAGCATAAGCCTTTTAGTTTATATGAATAGTATTGGCAAAGGGAAAAAAAAGCCATTATATGACATACCCCTGAGTAAATATTCAGAGATAGTAGCAACCTGCTCTGGAAGCTTGAGCCTGAAATTTCAGTAACTTTTTTTTTTTTTTGTAATCTTGGAGCCAATCACTTTCTCACAGAGAGATAGTCTTTTTTTTTTCTTCTTTTAATTATAGTTGACATACAATATTATATTAGTTTCAGGTGTATAACTTAGAGAATCAACATTTATATACTAGTAATAAATTCTTATATCAAGAAAGGACTATTCCTGTTTACTAAAAACCAACAACAGCCACTAAATAATAGGGAAGCAAAACTATCTCTAGGTAGAAATAGAGGAATATTGTATAGTTGCAACTCACCAATGCAAGGCAGTCAGTGATAGAAACTGAATCTTTCACCGTGTCCTTCATTTAACAGTTTCTCCTTGTCTATTGCTATCTCCATCCTGCCTGAGCTGAGCCTAAATCAGTTTATATCAAGCTGAGGCTAATTGAGTATGAGATTACCTTCTTGGGATGAGGAGTTGGAGATCTAGCGCTGTGTCATAATGGGAAGAGAGTTGTAAAATTGAGTGAGCTTCTAATGGGTTATATAACTGCTAAGCGCTATGGGGTTTTGATGCTTCACTGCTTCCAAGAAAAGCACCTTGTTGGGAAAAAAAAGGCAAGCAATTATACCATGTTGTATATTTACAATTTATGGGTTAGCTGTATCTATCCCTGGATGTGGTGTGTTTTCTACCAGTGCTCATAATCTGTGATGGGCTTCCCTTGGTACTTTTTTTCTCTGAGTATTTATTGTTTTGCATCTTTACCCTTCCAACCATAGGATTTAGACAAAAGTCAAGAAGAGATCAAAAAACATCATGCCAGCATCAGTGAACTGAAAAAGAACTTCATGGAATCTGTACCTGAACCACGGCCTAGTGAGTGGGATAAACGCTTATCCACTCACTCCCCGTTCCGAACACTTAACATCAATGGCCAAATCCCAACAGGAGAAGGAGTGAGTACTTTATTCACATGACCAATTATGAGAATTAGTGAAATAAGTGTTTTTTATATTCATATTCTGTATCTGAGAGAAAGTTTAGAGCTGAAATTTAGCTTTGGTGTCTCACCAGTTCATTGCAGCTTTAAGGCATTCGTAATCAAACACTGGTTTTTTTAAGTTATTTGGACCACCCAATCTAATTAAGGGAGCCAGAGCTACCAGTAGATGATTAGGGTCTGAGAACTCTCTGTAGCTGCATGCTTCTGGCTAGTGTGTGTTTACAAATTGACCATAAGCCAACGGAACTTTATGTTCAAACTGTGCCTTCAAGGACCAGAGAGTACACTAAATTTAGTAAGGTCAAAATTAGAAAGGAATAAGCATTTTTAAAAAACTTATTTGAACATTTGAATAACTTAGAAATGTCTGGAATGGTTGACCGTAATTATATAATAAACCTAGGAGGCCCCTAAGCCAGTGAATGCAGAATACCAAGTATTAAATTATTGTATTTCAATTTTAGAAAAACTGTTGATGATTTATTTTATTTTTATGAGAAATATCAAACTTTTAATACACTGTTTTATAACAGTCACAATTAGAGAAACCAGAGATACTTTCCAGGGGCTGTTCTTTTTCTGTTATTGTTGTCATTCCTATTGTAGAAATTCTACACCCAAATAAATGAATCTGTGTAATGAAAATGTCTAAAAGTTACCTTGAGCATATATTCAAAAATTCTTTACTTAATCTTTAGCCTGCTGGGCTAAATATTTATATAAATAGTTACAATGACTTTGCTGAGTGACTGTAATGATCTTTAAATTATACGCTTGTTCCCCCCCGCCCAAAGCAATAGCAATTCTAGTTAAGAAAGGTAAAGTGATATCTTAATAATTTTTAAAAATTGCTTTCATATTCAGAATTTAGGATAAACTATCCAACTTATTTAGTTTCTGGAACTGGAGAAGATAGTAAAAGTTGGTTTACAAAGGGTACTTTCTGTATTTTTCAAAATGTGATTAAAATTGGCTAATGATTCTCTAAATGGAGTCAAACCAGTTTCACTGAGTAAGGGTGGAGAAATCCTGAATGATGGGCAGCTAAGTAGAGTTACCAGGGATGCAGGATGCAGTTGTTCCTGTTCACTGTCTTCGAGGCCTCCATGCCCTGATGGACATGGACGTAGTTTTGTATTCTAAATCCAGCGAATGTCCCCTGAACTGACTTTTTTTCTCGTGGACAAAATGCATTTCTATCTCGCCTGGTAACTGCATATTTCCTGGAAGTTTTCTTTTTGGTTTTGTACAAATAATAAAAGATGCTCAACTACTTTGGAAAAAGTAAAGAGTATTCTCTTGTATGAGGTTTGGTAAATTTGAATCAGTCTCCATTTCCAGAAAATATCTTATATCTTAATAGAAACCCTTCAGAAACCATCTCAGGACTGGTTTGGGGAATGGCTGTGTCATTCTGTGGACTTTAAAGAAATGACTCTTTATAAATTAAATTACATCATTGGGGATACTTGTGAAACTTTAGCTCTATGTTTGTGTATATTGCCCCTCTAAATGAATAATGGAATAAATAAGAACTGTACTGTGATAACCTTTTGTATAGGATAACTCCACTTTCTGGCATATCTTACTTTTTCTTTAATAATTAGAACAATATTTCTGTTCTTTGGGGATACCTCTTCCACCTTTGACAGCATTGTTGTTGCATTGCAAAGCAACTGAATTTTTATAATTTGTGTATGACCAGGTGAAGAAAACTGTCCTTCCCTCGGAAAGAAAGGTTGGTGGGCCAGAGGTAAAGCTGCTGTTACTTGTGCTTCTCGATCACAATTTGCTCTTGCCATGGCACTAAGCAGATAATGCCCCAGAATTGAACAGCAGCGGCTAATTTATTTTTCTTTTGGCAATACTAGTAAATTCACACCCACCACCTTTTGACCTAACACATAACATTCCCACTGCTGCAGCTTTTGCAGCTTCCAAATTGCTTATGTTGGCGCATGGCTGGTTGAAAAGCTGCATGCAGATGTAAATATGTTTTCAGAGAGAAAATGAATTTAATTGTACCCTATTCTTTTTATGTTGTCTTTCTTCTCCCTTTGTTTTCTGTTAAAAATCATTATTATAATTTTGCATCCTTTCTTTTCCTTTTTTTCTTTTTTGCTGACCAGTCCCCCAGCTACTTTCTCCCTGATACATATCACTTAGGGGTGTGCAAAGAACCAGTGTCGACCTTCCAAACTGATCCGAGAAGGCTGGCTCAACTGAGAGAACTTAGAGCCAAGTTTTTCCTTTCATAGATAACATCTATCTTGATTGTATGGCAGAGTACAGAAATTTGGGCGAGGGGCGGGGAACAGGGACTTGAGAAAAACTTAACAATTGGACAATTGTAAAAAAATAACTCTCCTCCAAAGTATCAAAAGTATTTGCCTAATGTGATCTATAAACCTTCATGGTGGTCATTATTATTTATTTTTAATCATAAATCCAAGAGATAGGTGAAGGTAGTTTATAATTGTAAATTTGTGGGGTTTTGGTTTTTGGTGGGGTTTTTTGATAGACCTCGGAGGCACATATAAAATTTTATACATTTTTTCTCTGCAGTCTTTAAAATGTATAGGATTAAGGTTTTTATTCCCTTGAGCAAAAGCTAATTGCCGTATTGAATGAACTGTTCATTTTTAAAATCTATATGGAGAAATATGAGGGTAACTTTATATTCTGCCATTCTATTTGTAATAAAGCTAACTTTTCTGATGGCAAGAAGAATGCTTCATTATTGGTTTTGCCCAATTGATCTAAGAAAAATTGACAGCACCAAAACAATGAAAAGTGACCAAATTATTATGTGAATATCCTCAAAGGAGGAATAAATGCTGTAAGGAAGTCCAGTGATTCCTTGATTTGTCAGGACTTCTAGTGTTCATTCAAAAAAGTTATCTTTGAGTATAAAAACTTTGCTGGGATAAATTGTCAAAATAAAATAGAGTGTCCAAAAGATTTTCCCAAATCCTTTGCACATCCCCAAGTATCATTTTTAAGCATTTTCCATCTGTCATTTTGTTCATCTTTCTCTGTCTTTCTTGATCTTCTACCGTGAAAGCAGACACAGGAACGTGCTCTGTTAGTACAGGATGAAGAGAAAATTAAAAGGCAAGAGAGATCTACTGAAAGAGCTTTGCCCCAGCAAGAAAATGAAGAAGTTCTTCCCAAGGTTTCTATTCCAATCCCTGAGGATCACAAGTCTTTCAAAAAGTGCCACCTCTACTCTAATACTCTTCCATCTCCTCGTATTCCTTTCATGATGTCTTTTCTCGTGGTTCTTGCATTGGCTGTTTGGTGGTTGGTCTTTCTGTGATTGGAAAACAGGGTGCTCATCTGAAATGTCAAGACTAAAACTGTCGAACTTTTGGCTTCTACTGTATGATGCCCTCTGATCTTGATAGCTCACTGTCCTTGATAGCTCTTGTGATCATTTTTCTGTCAATAAAATGTTACTCTTTGTAGAATATGCATTATGGGGTACAAAGGAGTAGGAATGGATTGCCTAAGTCAGCTTTCTTCACTGAAGGGAACAAGTTTAGACTAAACAGATTTAAGCGTACGGCAGGTTGGTACATCCTCCAAAAGCTTTTGCTCTTTTATCTTTTATGTTTTTATTATTTATTGTTGCTATGTCCTCCTCTCCAATGTTTCACACAAAGCAAGATACTCTGCAGAAACATTCAATGGAATATTTTCCTAATCTTCCATAGTCATTTGTGTGGCACAGGCTCTGTAGTTTAAGAAAAAAATTCAACTTGCTAACCTTTCAAAAGCCTTAAAATGACACATTTTAATCTATGAATCTAAAACCACTCCTTTTCTTGATATATCAAACCAGTATATACAAAGGCCCCTTTTTTGAAAAGGGCTTTTGACTTCTGTGGCCTTCCTAATGTGTACTTCTGAGAGGTACAGGGACAAACAACTTCATCCTGTCTGGTGTAGAGAAGAGTTCTGCAAAGGTTAAATGCCATCTTTCCATAAATAAAATGTTGATGGTTTAAGGAAAATGGTGCTGGTATCCCATAGCCTCCAGCCAGGACTGAATTTCCCAGACTACTCTACCCATTATTAGAAGTCCTGGAATACAGATTTACTCAAGATCTGTACATAAACATACTCTTCTGAATTAAAATACTGTGTTTGTCTTTATGACTTAAGTAATTAGTTATATTGCTAGAAGCATAATTTAGCCATGTGGTAAGCTTAAAATATATATTGATATATTTTGTTTTCTTGGTACACTTTAAACACGTTTGTTCTTACATTTGTGTTGAAATCAATTATTTTGAATTGATGACCTTGTGAACTAAAAAATTCTTTCATGACAAGTGTGTCCTCTGTTTGCATGTTGATTTTTAAGTCTTTCCTGAAGTAAATATGAGTGTGCTCTCTCTTCACAACATAACTCGGATGTCTAACCTGTTATTTTCTACCTTTATTAATGAAGTCTTGCATGTAGCTTGCTTTTTATAGCACTTGGATGTACCAATATGGGTGATTTGGTTAATGTCTCAAATATTTGTAAGTCTGAGTTCATAGGGTCATCAAAATGAGATTATTGCACTTTCTTTTACTCTTTAATGCTTTTCAGGTGGTGAAACTGCTAAACATGACTCTTTGTTTTTAAGATGATGGCTTTTTAGAGCAAAAAAACAACAGTAAAATCAAGAATCTCTTGTCCTTAAGCATTCATCACTATTGTTTTATTGTCTCTGTAGACATGCAGAAGTAATTCTCTGGTATTCCTGAAAACTGTTACTCTGTCATTATAGGCTTTCTAAAAACAAAACACACACACACACACACACACACACACACACCCCAAAATAAAGGAAAAAGAAGCAAGGAGCATGTTAAATTTAAAAATCCGGTATGATGTGTATCTTTCATGTCAGAGGCTATATTTGTTCCCAACAAATATTTTATAATTAAGCATATTTATTG